AGTTCGTAGGACTTGTTTAGAGTAAATAAAACAGGAACGTCAACTGATTTTGACCCTCGCTGGGTGTTCCTCAGGGCGTGACTGCAGAGACTGTTGTGATTCCTTTATACAGACAGTTAGTGGGCTGGAGGTAGGGTGACCAGACCTCCCCAATCCTCTCCCATTTGTCCTGATAATGAACCATTATGGTAACGGATAAAACAAAGGAAGGAGCCAAAACGAGAGCATTGTGTACGCCGTGAGGCTCGACTTCAGACCTGCTGAGGAGACCTGACTTAGTGACACAGGTATATTAAAAACTAAATGTTGCACTAGACGTATTGTGTGTATTTTGGAGCGCTGCCAACTTGTGATGAATTATTGATAACATAACGGAGAGCCACTCAACAAACTGCTGCTGTCACCAGAATAAAAGTCACTTTAAAAAGATAGATCCCTTTTGATTAAATGATCGATTAATCTACATGAATTAGTAGATTAATAGTTGTTTTTACTCCCCGAATCTGTGAAAATAATTGAATCAAACCACTTATGCAGGCTGTAAGTCTTACTTTTAGTTCTTAAAGATATGTATTCTTGATCTCTGTTGCACTGATTAGACATAAATAACCAATTGTTGATGTCAGGTTTTAAACTAGGTGAGAGTGCAGTCGCTATTGAAGGTGGGATTTGTGACACAATATGTGTTTGTAAGCTCCTGCAGGTTAGTGACAATCTGAGCTGCTGTAAGGACGTTAAAGATGACCTACCCGTCACCTGTGCGTAGTGACTCATGCGGTTACCATCATGAGCAAACAGAAGATGTGGCCACGCCCGCACCCAAATCTTCTCACCTGGTCACCCTGCCTGCCAATAGATCCTCCTAAAGCACACACACACACTCATGAAAACAGTAGACTGAACTCTCTGTAGGAGCTGCACAACAAGCCCAGGAGCCAGTAACCAGAAAATATCAGCCATATTGGAACATGTGGCTCCACGGACGATGAAAACAACAGTTGGACGCAGTCAGACGTTTATGTTCGAGGCTGAAAGAGCAGCCTGAAGCTTCGTTCCTGCAGTGACTGGGATTAATCTGTAACTCGGGCACTAATTCCACTTGTTCACTTGTGTTTATCCATTTTACTTTCTTGTTTTCTTCCACTAGATTTTAGAAATAAATAGTTTTTCCTCCACTTCATTTATCTGACAGCTGGAGTTCCTGATTTTACCTTCAAGATGAGATAAAATCATGAAGTCTGCTCTTCTTTCTTTCTGCATTTCCTCTTTCCTTCCTTCCTACAGTTTAATTCTCTCAAGCATGACACTGCAGAAAAACTGGAAACGCAAGGTTATCAGGAGGCGAATTAAAAGCTACTCTAAAGAACTCTGCATACTTGAGATCTCTTCATCTCTGTTGTTGAGCGAAGGTCATCTACATATTTCACCAGCTCATTTTACTTACAGAATAGTTACAGATGAAACCTTTCAGATAGTTTGTTTTTTATTTGTTCTGTTTCTGCATCCGTCCCGATACAGTGGATGAGACACAGTTAGCACGCCTGGATTAACCTGAGCTCTCCTGTTTCGTGCCTGTATATCCAATATGCACAGGTTTTCTGTTACTACCTGGCCCCAGAAACACAAATTAATGCAGAAATCTGCAACGTTTTAGCACAAACTGATAAAATTAATGATCCTTGTGATGGTTTTCAGGATAGATCTTGACAAGAATTTCCCTCTGGGGATCCGGCTTTGACAAAGAGGTTGCGATATGATTCATGATCAGTGTGGGAATGATCAATTATTGCATCACAAATTAAATTTTTTATGAAAAAAAACAACTATTAAAATTATGATCATGTGAATTTTTTCGGGGGTCTGTACCAAACAAACATGTTCCTCTTGAATCCTTCTCTCTCTCCCTTTTTCTGTCACTCTTCAGCTGTTCTATGCAATAAATTCAAAAGCCCCCAAATATATATATTAAAAAGATACCGGGTCTAAAGCACTTAACGGACACAGCGCTTGGCCTTCGATTCACTCACATTCACATTGCCTCATATAAGGTTCCAATATTGTAGAGTCCCTTGGATAATAAAGCATGGTTCAGGTCTTTATCTTGTCAGTATTGTTCCCTATTGGTGCATATTCCCAACACCTCTCTAGAGTTATGTGCCAAATCATATCAGTAACACAAAGTGAGTTGTTCCTGCAGTTGAGGGAGTCGACCACCAGGTGGCAGTGGCACACAGTGTCTGTACTGCGGCTCTGACGCCACATTACAGACATTACTTTGCGTTTTCTGCTGTCAGTCAGGTCAGAGACAGTTGAGGGGATTTGAGAGGCGGCTTGAGTCACTGTGTGTCTTTTTCTGAGTCATGTGTCACTGGCGTCCGGCCATCCTGCAGCTGTAGCACAATACCGCTCATTATGGGATGAAAACCTGTTTGTTGTGGAGGTAAATCATCTCACCTGTTCATTGTGTCATACCGGGAAGAGTTTGGGAAATTAAATCTGGTGCATTTGGGAGGAGAAGTGAATAAATTTAATTGTAGTTCAAGTTTAAATTGGAGCAGCTGCAGCTCTAAATGCCCGGACGAGCACTGTAAGATTATCCAGGAACAGAATAATAAGAATAATAGTGGAGATACAGGATGTTTTACATAATGAGCAGCCTAACAAAGACGAGTTGATGCACAGTATTGATCTGCCACACCTTTCATTACACTAAGCTGTATTATTTAATCTTCTGTGTTTTGCATCAGTTAAAATTTCTGCTGCTCTTGTGAAGTTCTAGTTGTGCAAAAACTACTCTGTTGACTATTAGAACTCATATTTTAAGAGGCTGGATTTGTTTCTGCAGAAGTATTTCACGTCGATCTGTGAATTTCTTTCTTTGCTGTGAGAAATTTACGGTCTGAGGAACCTCTGGGAGAACGTTTTTCAAGATGTTTAACCTGGATACAGCCTTAAAAACGAATGTTTAATTAATATAGCGACATTAGTTCAGTGATAAATAACATCAGGATGAATTACATCAACTTACTCGTTAACTTTCATCCAGAGCCTTCATGAGGTCTAAATTCCAATTTGTCCAATACTTTGGTTTATGATCAAAATACCTGCAAAACTAATGACCTTATATATACTGTATGACGCCAACGACAGGCGACCGGTGATAACGCTGCGTTAGCTGAATAAAATGACAGATTTCTCTGCGTTTGAACTTTGAACATTATAGCTTTAAACTGTGCATTTACTTCATTCATTAGTTCCCTTTAGTTTATAGTAATCGGCCTAATTTTATGTGATTTCTTTAATGTTCCTTAAACATTTTAATGGAGGCTTTAATAATATGTCGTCCACCTCATAAACAAGCTCTTGGAGCACTTTATGTTTTTGGTCGGATGCACAGAAGAGACAGGAGGAGGCAAATGAAGTAGCTTAGTAATTTTAGGGTCTTAATTTTTAAGCTAAGATACAGAAATACAGAAATAAGTGCATAAATGAGCAGAAACTACTCACACAGACCAGACTCCATAGAGAAATGTTGCAGTTTAGGTTGAGATTGTGCCTCATACAGCTTTAAGCTTCCCATTTTCTCCCCTTCAGATATTATTGTGAAAGCTTTTTGTGTGTGTGTGTGTGTGTGTGTGTGTGTGTGTGTGTGTGTGTGTGTGTGTGTGTGTGTGTGCCTCTGTGCTCACATGTGGGTGGGAATCTGAATGCTTTGGTGTTTCTCTGGAATGTCAACAATGAGTCACGTCGACTCGCGCTCATCTCAGGGCGGAGAGCCACTCAGTCCTTCAGCTTCTCTCACACACACACACACACACTCACATCCATAAAATTCATACTCGATTAGCCAGTTTCCAAAAAACAACATTTACTGGCAGAAATATTCAACCTATGAGGGGCGTGTCAACAACTTAATGTCATGTTCTTCAAAACCTGCACCGAGCAGTCTGTAGCCTTTATGACCTCCTGATACATGTTCTCTTCCAATATCATCACACATCAAGTGTAGAATACACACGTTTTATTAAGCAGTTGGTCAAGTTTGCAACAATAAATGTGCAGCATCCACTCAAACGTTCAAAATAAAGCTGGCTGAAGGTTGCCTTTTGGTTTGCGTGTACTTTTAGGTGACAAATAAGCTCAAAATATCTTGAATTTGGTCCTAAATTGAGCAACTCACAAGCCAAAAAAAGTTAAAGTCCTACGCCTTATCAATCATTAACAACGATAGGGGAACACTAACTAATTAAAAAAAGGATCCAAGTTTAATTTTAGTGAAATAAAGGTCAGCACAATAGCATCAGCAAACTCATAAAGTATAAAATCAATATAAATCATATTCATTCAACTTCCACTCCTCCTGCCCCACAGTTTGAGATATAATGTGTTTAATTGATGAGCTTCAGTAAGCAGCCAGGCTAGCTGTTTCCCCCTGTTTTAGCTGCTGTCTGTAGTTCCATATTTTATCGCACAGACATGAGATAACTCTCGGTAATAACGATCATATTTCCCAGTATTCTTTTTAAATGAGTCTTGTTAGAATACGTAAACGTTTCTATTATTGTTGATCAACCATCCTGAATATTTTTCTCAATTTAACATTTTCCTACAGCCCACAGTCACATCCCTTCTTTTTGTTTGTCCAGCAGTTAAAAACTAAAATAAATTCAGGTTCACTGTCACATACATAGAAAGAAAAAGCCACATTTTAGACGCCGTAACAACCCGGAGATGTTTGGTTTGTTTGCTTAAAAAATGGCTTTAATTCATCGATTATCAAAATAGTTGCAGATTCATTTTCTGTCGAGAATTCAGATTGAATGTAAAAGTTTGTGAAAGTTCCTTGAAATGGTCCCTTTAACACAAACAGGTGCCTCAAATAGGAAGTCCCCCCCTCCCCTCTCATTGGCTGTCTTTTTGCTCCTGAATGCCGGTCGGGCCAATCGCGTCTCCTCCCTCCCCCCTGGCTGTGTCTGGCCCGCCTGACTCTCTTCCCCCTCCTCCGTCCGCGGTGCTGCTGCACTCCGCTCTCGACCTCCAGGCTGTCTGTCAGGGCTCTCTGTGTGTGTGTGTCTGTGGATGTGTGTGTGTGTGTGTGAGTGTGTGTGTGTGTGTGCTGTAGAGAGGTGGCGGGGAGGGAAAGTGTGTGAGGAGATTCAAAGAACGAGTAGAGCCAAAAAAAAAAAGACACTGCAGTGGAGGAGAGCGGTGGTTTCTGGCTTTGTTTTGTTGTTCCTGATGGAGAGACAGTTTAGGGAAGTAAAGACATGGTGATGAAGATGGTGATGATGATGATGAGGATGGCGGGCTTTCCTCAGCCTCCCCGGGCTCAGGTCAGTGGATGCTGTCTCTGTAGAGCTGTGTGAGAAAATTCATGCTCCTCCTGTGTTCTCCAGCCTGTTGGTGGTTTCTAGTTTCGTGTGTGTGTGTGTGTGTGTGTGTGTGTGTGTGTGCGCTGCCAAATGTTACAGCAACAAACTGCGCTCAAACAAGCAGTTAAGTTTTCCAACATTCAGTCTGTAACGATGTGTTCAGATTGAATATTGATGCAACAAGCTGTGACCTGTTGGATTCACTCATAGCAGCTAATATCTCAGTTCTCAGAGCCCAATGTGACGTCTTATAGTTTCTTTTCTTTCATAATGAGTCAGAAATCACAAATAAAGTGACTTTACGGTGGGGATTTTTCTTCAGTTTATCTTCTTTTGGTCTAAGAAATGTGCCGAGTGAGCGGTTGAGGATGCTCCACAGATTTATTTGGAGATATAGGTTATCTTTATTTATGACTGTCCTTTTAATCCCTGATTCGTCACACCATATTGTACAGTATTATCATGGTATGACTGATGAGATGCACAGGATAAGTGGACCAAACTAGTTTCCCTTCTACGGATTAAACACAGTTAGGAGGCAGGAACCACTAAATATTATCTATTTTTTTAACCTGTTAAATGACTTTAATGAATCTCTGTGGATCACTGATGGCTGACAGCTTGCAGAAGTACAAGAGGAAGACTTAAAGGTTTAAAAATACTTTAAAGTGTGAGAGAGAGAGAGAGAGAGAGAGAGAGAGAGAAAATGAGAAGTTACAGAAGTTAAAGAAAACAGGAAGAAAGGGTTTTTTTTTGTTTGTGAATCAGTCTGATTGTGTGTGTGTGTGTGTGTGTGTGAGGGCTCAACAGCCTGCCACCTGGCTGGCGAGTGATGCAGTGGGGGGGTGATGGTACCACACTGTACCCAATTAATGTGAGTGCTCACTGGGCATAATGCTCTCTCACACACACACAAACAAACCACTTCCTGCATTAATCATCCTAAAATATTTTTGCTATTTCCAAGGTCAATAATGAACATTGAGCTCTTACGATTCGAGTCACGTAGATTGAACTCAGGAAATATCCTTAAATGGAAAGGATTTATCTTGAGAGCTCCACTGATCTAGTATGTCTCTATAGATACAGAGATTTAAAGGACCAGTGTGGTAGTGGATTTAGTGGCATCACGCGGTGAAGTTGCAGAAAAAGTGGAGCATTTAGCAGCCAAAGAGACGGATGTTTTTATCAGGAGTCGGTGCCAAAGCAGCTAAAAGAAGAGTGAATATTGGCATCCCAGTAAACATGGATGTAAACAATGCTTTACAAGTGTTTCATGTAGTCTTTGCTGTGTGTGTACCTGAAGGCTAACAAACAGAGACTTCGTTTACAAGGAAATTATCCAATATTATAGTATCAGTATCTTTAAGGGAACCCATTTCTGTAATAGAGTAATTTGACTAAATGGTATTATATTTTAAAAACAACAAACAGCAGTGAACAGCTGTTAAACTGAACAATGAACCCAAACAGTGACACAGTAACTGCAGGAAGTTTGTGTAAAGCGAGAGATTTAGAGGAATTTTGAGCAGATTATTACTGAAAATTGATCAGAGATGAGTTTTCCTGATATTTTTAGTAAGTTTGTTAGCCTGTAGTATTATTATTATTATTATTATTATATTTTAATCATACATTAATCAGAGAGTAAAGGCCCTGTGAATATAGCTTGAGTTTAGGGCTTCACCGTTCCTCTTATTTCATTCAGTTTTCTTCACAGAAGTAAATAAAATGCTGAGATATCGGCTATACTGTATATAATGTTTTAAGTTTTCTTACACCCCTTAAAATCAAGAAGGCATCACGACCCCCAGGTTGGACGTTAGCTTTTAATTTCCACCTCGAGCGACATCAAAAAGCTCCTGAACTGGAAGTGAAAAAGGGAAAAGGGTCACACGCTCCAGCTCTTTTTAAATCTTCAGATCTAGTTCAGATGTGGAGAACAGGGTCAGGGTTTTATTTCTGTGAGATTTTTAATGCCGGTAACATTATTCCCTCGCAGACAAAGACGTGGGTGTATGAGCGTGTTAAGGTCAGTGTTACTGAATCTGTGATACTTTCTGCAGAGACTTTAACACAACCTTCCTCCCACTGCTTTCCTTTCAACCTGTATAATCTCAGTTTTCTGCTCAGCACCGGCCCGGTGTCTTCACTTTTATTCCTTACTGTTATTTCTTTAATTCCCTGCATCACCGGTTCCACCAGGAGCTATTATTAGACACACCTGTGTCTGTAGACACACCTCAAACGGACTTTCACACACATTTCTCCCTCATACAGTTTCAGAAAGACAAAGAGACGCACAGAATGGTTTGCATACTATGGTGTTTGTGGTGGCATGGTAGTACGGTAAAGGTCATAACAGTATATTTGCATCTAATTTGTCTTAGTTTGTACTGAAAAACCTTTTTGTGGACGTTTGGTCAACAGTGCGCTCAAGGCTTACGCCAGTGGAATTTACTGTCTGTATGTATAGAGTATATTTATTGTGGATTAGTTGGTGTGATCTGGTGGTTATAGTAGGTAAAAAAAAATGATTCAAACAACTCAAATTATAGACATAAGGAGGCATTATTTCATATTAAGGGGTCATTGCCACGACCACAGCAACAGAAAAATAGTCCAGAAACTCTGTTAATCCTCTTTTTTGGGTGGAATGGATGAATTCTTTATTTATAAGCAGGACTGTATCCTACAGTTCCTCTAATGAAAGGCTTTAAACTTTTACTTCTAGAAGAAATTCCGTATATGTGGAGTGTGAAATACCGGTATTATAGACTGGTGGAGTCGGATAGCCACTATTATGAATTATCAGTTGTCTAGTTGGATATCAATATCAACATTAAAGGTCCGTTGTGTAACATTTAGAAGTGTATAATCACCTGAATATAAGACTTGTTGTTAGAATGAGATGCTTTTTAAATAACATATTCCTCCTAAATGTTACACGCCTTTTAAAAGACATTTTTGGGGGAAATATTTGGCACTTTATTCAGAGTCTGATGGCAAAAAATTATGTAAATTTTAGATAGAAAACTAACTGCTCTTTAAAAGCGCAAATTTTCTAGACGTGAGTCAAAATTCTTCCCTCCAGTTTTGCATTTACAGCTCGTATCTTTAAAAGAGCTGGTGGAGGTTCGGAGTCTTGCTTGTGGGCACTTTGACAGGACTTGCTGATGGACACTCGGTTGGCCTCGGTTTCGTTAAGGCCAGTTGATTTCCAGGATATGGGTTTTCCCTGGCCGCTGTGGTGTCGCCATGGTGGAGGAAGTGAAAGCAAACGGACCACAGAGAAGTACACTGTTAGAAAGATTGTGAGCAGGAAATATATGAGAGATTAGCTCATGTTGACAGGTCAGAGCAGAGAAAGATATATTTCCCAGCGTCCTGTGAATGAGACTCATCAATCAACCATCTTTCTCGGCTCTGATTGGTTGTTTTCATTCGGGCCCGGTGGATTCTTCCAGATTAAAATGTAAAAATCTGCCTCAGCTGCTTGTTTGTGATCAATAAAGACAGCTGACATGTTCGACAATAGTTCGTCAGCATTAGTTGTCACATTCAATCCTTTTCATTCATGAGCAAACAAGAGCCGTTTTTTTCCTCCTGCGTTGAGGAATGTAGTTGAAAAGGCCGCTGCTTCCTGTGCTCCTCCTCTGCTAATCCAGTTGTTTGGATTAGTGTCTCATCATCTGGTGTCATCCGAGGGAAAAGAGGGAAGGGATGGATGGACGATGGGTGGATGTGGAGAGCGAGGAGGGAAGGATGGAGAGCTAAAGGACATAAGAGGAGGTTAAAAGGAGAAAATCCATCAAGAAGACATAAAGAGAAAAGATACAGGATCCAGTGCAGAAGCAGCTCTGTAGTTTATTCAGTTATCAGAGGTGGAATTAATACTGAACTCTATTTCAGAGGGAAATATTGTACTTTTTATTTGATTTACTTTACAAATTAAGATTTCAACGTACAAAACATACAGAAAGCTTCTAAAATCTGATGTTTTGTGATAAATTAAACTACCAAGCAGTTAATAGTACAGCTAAAACAATTAATTAAACAGAATATTAATTGACTATTCTGATAATCTTTTGTCATTTGAAAAACATTTAATCTTTCCAGATTTGCTGCTTTTCCTTTTTAGTTATTTAAAAAATTTGAATGTATGTGTAATAATTTTGAGGTTGGGACTGTTGGTTGGACATAAACAAGCATTGTGAAGGTGTCACTTTGTCACTATTTTCAGAATTCTTCAATCGATTAATGGAGAAAATGATCAGCAGATTGATCCATAATAAAAATAATCATCATTGAAGACTCTGGCCCCTAAATATCCACAAATTTCTATCTTAAAGTACCTGAAAATAAATGTTTCTCTATAACATTAATATATTTATGATGGCAACAATCCCGAACATCTTGCTTTGTTTTCGTGTTGCACCCCAAACAGGTTTCCACGGTCTTCGATGTCTTGCTGTAGTTAATGAACAATAATAAACTCAAGTTCCACCTCAGTGCAGAAGCAGTTAACAGTTACACATTCACTCTGTGGCGAAATGCTGCTTCAGGTTTAACCTGCAGGTTGGATTCCACACTTCCTTACATCCTACATATACTCACTCTACTCTTGGTCTCATCTCCAGACCTCAGTTAGATTGGCGAGTAAAAGGTTATCAGTTGTGAGTAGATCGGAGTGGGACTGTTGCTCTCCACAGGTCTGAGCCTGGAAAGTTAACGTGATTCAAGTTAAACCCTTATTTTTTGGTTTAACACCTCCTTCTCTTCCCTACCTGTCTCTCCAGGTGAGCCCCGGGCTCCAGACTGAGTGCTAGCCATGTTGCGGCAGTCCGAGCCGACCTCCAGCACCCTGCAGCTGGTTGCCAACGATATGACCGGCATCATGGAGAAACTAGACACCCGCGAGCTCGACCTGGAAGATGGAGAGTACGACACAACCGACGCCAACGTCCCAGGTATGTACGCGTGGTCAGCGTGCCGTTCATCTTCCATCACCACAATTATCTGATATGTTTGTATTTCTGCTGGTGTTCGTCTGCAGCGGAGCGTTTGTCTTTCACGGCGATCTACAACACGGTGGGTTTCAAGGAGTCCACGGCCAAAGTCTTCCTGTCCTCTCCGATCACCGCCAAGATCCTCGAGGTGGAGCGGTTCACCTCGGCTCAGGACCGCTTCAACGTTACTTCGCAGAGGAGCGTCAACAAGGTGCACTTGGACGCACATTCCTGCCTGACGTTCAACAGTTACTATTTGTCTCAGATGACCATTAAATGTCAGTATGTAACTTAAGTGTCTGTCCTGTGTGCTCAGTCGATGCCGGCGGTGTTTAAGATCGAGTTGAAGCACGGGGAGTTTACCTGGCTGGTGAAGAGGAAGGAGAAACACTTCATGGATCTCCACAGAGAGCTGAGGACCTACAAGACCTTCATGAGGCTGCCGCTGCCGACACGCAGGTGAACTTTGCATTTCTTGTTCTGGACTGGCTTCTGTTTGGGTTTATTTAAAGCCTCAGAAGCTTAGATTAGGGACGATGTAAACAGGTGTCTGGATGAACTTCTAACACATCAGACGAGCAGGTGTCACTTTGTCTAAAGCATACGGTGCTTTCTTGTTGCCTCCATTACTTAAACCTTCCTTTCCTATCATCAACACCTGGGAATTGATTAAAATTACCAAATATCCTGGAATTCCTCCTCCATAGACGCTGGCCAGCTACCTGTAATGAACCCGAGACACTTCATGGAGGATTAGTGACTAAAACTGGGGTTAAATGTGTCAAAAAGTGGGAACCCTGATTTAATCTTCCAAGCCAACAACCTCTGAACTGTTGTCAATTCTCTCTGCAGTCACACGGTGAAGAGGCAGACGGTGTCGAGGAGCGAGGCGGGGCAGATACCGAACCTCCCCAGATCAGGAGGAGACGAGCTGGGCAGAGACGAGCAAGTTTCCAGTCGAAGGGTACGCAGCTGTACTTCACCAACATCTCTCTTGTTTTCATACTTGGTGATATTTTATTATTGTTGCTGATATTTCTCTGATGTGCGTTTGTTCCAGAAACAACTGGAAGATTACTTGAATAACCTGCTAAAGATGCCGATGTACAGGAACTACCACGCAACGGTAAGGAGTCAGAAAGGTTACCACATGTGTTGGAAAACCTTTTAAAGCCTGGAAAATGCCTGTATAATGACAAAATAGACCATAAGGTCCTGGAAAAGATCTGAATGTGCAACAAGCAGGCAGTTTTAAGTTGCTGGTTTCAGTTTTATGTCTCTCTTTCAGATGGAGTTCATTGACGTTAGCCAGCTGTCCTTCATCCACGATCTGGGACCAAAAGGCTTGTAAGAGCAACTTTCTGTCAAGAATATAATTTAGTATCTTTTGGTTTTAAAATATTCCATTTAACCATAAAAAAAACTACAACAAAAGTCTGTTTTTGTGAGAAAATTCCACTTAATACCAGTTTAATGTCAATGGTTTCAAGAAGACAAGCAAATTTCTTTCAAGTCCTTGACATTTAAAAGTGTGGAAGGTTGATTTTTATTAATTATTAAGCACAATAGACAGGTTTTTGTACAGATGTACAGCATTATTTTGGCAGGAACAGCAGCTTTTCTCGTCTTTCAGAGAAGGAATGGTGCTGAAGCGCTCTGGCGGCCATCGGATCCCCGGGATGAACTGCTGTGGTCGCAGCAAAATGTGCTACCACTGGTCCAAACGGTCAGTGGACGCTGACACAAGAACACTCTGGCTTCTCGTTTTGTACTCAAACCTACATGTAGTCGTCCGTTTGATGTTTGCTGTGACTTTATTTCTATGCTGAGCTGTTGGGCGCAGCCTGCGTTGCGGTCTCCTGACTGCGTTTGTGTTTGTGTGCAGCTGGCTGGTGGTGAAGGACTCGTTCCTGCTGTACATGAAGCCAGACTCGGGGGCCATCTCCTTTGTGATGCTGGTCGACAAAGAGTTCAGTATCAAAATGGACTCCAAAGACACGGAGACCAAACATGGCGTCCGCATCGACAGTCTGTCCAGGTGTGTGACACTTGTGTTCTTTTACATACATATAAGGCCGTTACTTAAAGGTTACAAACCACAGATTCTATGACAACTTTACATTTCCTTAAAACTTCCTTAACGGACGCCAAACTCCGTACCTTTTCTTACATTTAGAGCCATCATTTCTCAGTTTAAGTGTTTATTATAAAGCCTCGCTCAGGGTTATATGTCTTAAACTTTAATTTACTTTACAAAAACAGACCGAGCATCTTCAGTGGTCACGTTGAATGTCACATCTTCTCACATTAACACACCGTTGATGACCCCGTAAACCTAAAATACAAAATTAAATCTCTCACAAACAGATGAAACTAACCCTAAAACCAAAGCATTTAAGGACATTTTAGGGATGAAATAACATTTTGATTTGCTGTAAGGAGATGTTTTCCTCCTTTATAAACATAATTATTATCCAACAGAAGAAAATAACTGAGAACTTTTGCTTATTATAAAGTTTTATTACTTTCCAGGGAGTTATAGTGAGTAACTGCGAGTTTAGTTTACTGTAAACTGTAAAATATATTAATCAGATCAGACATTTAAGATTATATTGACCAACAACTGACGCACACATACGTTGATTTTACTCTATTAAAGTAAACAGAATTAAAAGGGGTGTGTGTGTGTGTGTGTGTGTGTGTGTGTGTGTGTGTGTGTGTGTGTGTGTGTGTGTGTGTGTGTGTGTGTGTGTGTGTGTGTGTGTGTGTGTGTGTGTGTAGGTCATTGGTGCTGAAGTGCAGCAGCTACCGACACGCCCGCTGGTGGGGTCAGGCCATCGAGGGCTTCGTCCAGAAGAACGGCTCGGCCTTCCTCACCGACCACCGCTTCGGATGCTTCGCCAGACAGGAAGAGAACATCCCTGCCAAATGGTAACCGCGGCAACCAGCTGACCAACTGTCACCACCTTTTAACCTGATTTTGATAATGTGTGTTTTAGATGAAAAAACAACACCTTTTGGGGCCTCTCCTTTTTTAAATTGATGCAAATTAGAGCCCAACGGTGAAACAGTCTAGACGAGACCAGGTCCAGTTGGCAGAGAGAGTGTGTGTTTCTCTGTGTGTGTGTGTGTGTTTCTCTGTGTGTGTGTGTGTCTGTGTGTCTCGCTGGAGTAACCCGACACAAAGAGAGGGAAAGTGAGCCTCACCTGCTCATCACCTGTCTCCCTGCTGGGCAACACTATACTGTCTGTGAGACAGATTGTGTGTGTGTGTGTGTGTGTGTGTGTGTGTGTGTGTGTGTGTGTGTGTGTGTGTGTGTGTGTGTGTGTGTGTGTGTGTGTGTGTGTGTGTGTGTGTGTGTGTGTGTGTGTGTGTGTGTGTGTGTGTACGCAGCTGAGATGTCCACCATAAAAAGCATAATGAAAGAACAGAAGATGGACAGATTGAAAAGTGAGAGGGTGGGAGTGTTTGTTTTTGGTTGTTCTTGCTGTCTAAAGGTGTGTCCGTTTGCGTGTGTGTGTCCGTGTGTGTGTGTGTGTGTGCGTGCGTGTGTGTGTGTGTGTGTGTGTGTGTCTTTTACAGGTATGTGAATGGGAAAACATACATGGAGGATGTAGCCGATGCTCTTGAAGAAGCCAAAGAGGAAATATTCATCACAGACTGGTGGTAAGTGTTTTATATCTATATATGTGTGTGTGTGTGTGTGTGTGTGTGTGTGTGTGTGTGTGTGTGTGTGTGTGTGTGTGTTGCAGGGTGCAGTGAGTGCACTTGGCGGTCACCTCTTGGGGAGGTTTTCTGGTCAAACAGATCAGTTACAGTCTGAAGCTCGGTGCTACTGTTACACTAGTACACACACAGACACACATTTTAATACTACATGCAAAGTAAGTGTGTGTGTGTGTGTGTGTGTGTGTGTGTGTTGTGTGAGATTTACTGTATCTGCAGAAAAATATCCTGCAAACATATTTTTACTCAAGTGAACAAGTGCTGGTATTAAACTACTCGAGTGAAGAAGAAGATTAGTTGGAGGAAGGAGGAACAGAAAGAAGTTTATTTTATTTATTTAAGGAAAGAGAAAGTTGGGGAATCAGTAGGAAACAGAAGTCGTAGAAAAGCAAGAAAAAAGAAGAAATGAATAGTTTCTATGTGAGATCTCCACAGGTTGAGTCAAAATCTCTCCAACATCAGCGTAGCACGTAGCATACCTGAGAGAGGTGACCGTTGATTGCTCGACTGTGATTGGAGCACGGAGCTAAAAGGGGGCGGGACCTAAGAACCAGATGCTTTTTATACACGTTTGAGTAAATAACGAAAATATCACGTTGCTACGACAGGTTGAGTCCAGAGATCTTCCTGAAGAGGCCGGTTGTCGAGGGCAACCGCTGGCGTCTGGACTGCATACTGAAACGCAAAGCGGTGAGCGGGTCAATCAATCAATCAATCAATCAATCAATCACTCTTTTGTGACTGCACAAAGACTGGAAGCAGAGAGAAAGAGCTACATTCACACATTCACACGCTGATGGCGAGGGCGCCGTGCAAAGGCGCCAACTGCTCGTCACAAACGGAAACTTACAGCTTTTATATTTGTGACACTGAGAGATGGTGTGAAATAAGATGGTGTGAAAGTCTCATCCGCTCGTACTGATGTTGAGCATTTGTTGTTGTTGTTGTTGTTGTTGCTGTTGTTGTTTCCACAGCAACAAGGAGTGCGAATCTTCGTGATGCTGTACAAGGAGGTGGAGTTAGCTCTGGGCATCAACTCGGGATACAGCAAGAGAACGCTGCTGCACCTTCACCCCAACATCAAGGTGAGTGTGTTACTCCCTCAGGTGTATCTGTGTGTGTGTGTGTGTGTGTGTGTGTGTGTGTGTGTGTGTGTGTGTGTGTCCTGACGGTTTTTGACTTCCTCTCTCTCTCCTGAAAAGGTGATGCGTCACCCCGACCACGTCTCCTCCGCCGTCTACCTGTGGGCGCATCACGAGAAGATCATCGTCATCGACCAGTCGGTGGCCTTCGTCGGCGGGATCGACCTGGCGTACGGTCGCTGGGACGACAGGGAACACCGGCTGACGGACGTTGGGAGTGTTACGCTCTCACAGTTGGATCAGGTCTGTCTCACACACACACACACACACACACACACATACACACACACACACACACACACACACACACACACACACACACATACAGCTGGACTGACGTTGTTTGTGTCACTTGATCATTGTCCAACATGTAGTGGGGACAGGATACCTGCACCTTTACCTGCCCTCTGCTTCTCTGGTTCTCCCTCTCACGCACACACACACACACACCTCTGTTTAACTGACCCCTCCATAAGTCCCGCCCCTTTTTCGCCCTGTGCTCCAATGACAGTCGAGGACGTCGACTATCTCCTTTCCTGTACTTAGATATGCTACGTGCTAGGCTCAAAGATAAAAACAACATATATTCAGTTTAAAGTCGCATCTTAAGTTTAATGTTAACTAAAGTCACAACCACGATTAATGCTGCTTGTTTTAACTCCCCGTCAGGTCAATGCTGCGTCCTCCAGTGCGGCTGTCCCGGCCAACGGCAGCCGCGGCGTCTCCCAGAGCAACGGGAGGGGAATCTTTACCGTGACGGACTCGGTGGACCAGCCCAAGCTGAAAGGTCAGGGGAGGATGAAGAGGACCAGGTTCAGCATCAAGAGACACCTGCAGAAACACGGGCTGGCTCACGCTGACAGCGACAGCGACCTGGAGAACGAAGAGAGTGAGCGCTTTATTTATTAACTTTCACACATATTGTTCATCCTTACTCCTTCCGCTCATGATGTTGTGACAATTATATCATGCCTTCCCCGTCCTAGGAGAAAACAAATTCAGCTTGCAGGACACTCCCCTTCATCCTGGGGGGATTTTTACTGACAAATAACTGGGTTTACTGAGCCGTTGTAGCCGTTTCTAACTCTGTTTCTTTCCTTGCTTTGTTCAGCAGTGCAGACTAGCCTGGTAGCTTTAGCAATATCTGCCCGGCCGCTGTCAGAGCGCAGAGGAAACATGCATGAAAGGGGGCAATTAATGCAGCTTATAGCACGTCTACTGAGCACTGTGGTTGCCAGGTACTTTACAGAGGAGTAAACCCCCTTCTCTGCAGCATGACGGATAAGTGTTATGTTTTCATACTGTGTTTGGTTGTAATGAACGGGACAGAACAGGATAAAAAACAAGTATAATATTATAATTTAATTGTAATTTAATTGTAATTTTGGTGAAAACTGGGACATTTTAGTGTTTTACAGCATCAGAAAACATTATTAGCTGAAAGTAATGTGCGTCCCAGCTATCTGAGGGGTAGTGTAAAGATAGAATACAAGAACAAACCCTTGGGGTGATTTGGCTTTTGAGACTTTTTTTTTGGGGCGTTTGAAGCTTCTCATCCAGCAGCCTCGATCTGTCTGCTGCTGTCTCAGTGTTTGTGGCCGCTCTGTTTAGGTTGGTCCAACAGCGTCACCAGCCAACACAATCTGATCCCCAGCAGGCTGGCGGAGCTGAGGACGGCCGCTCCTCTCGGCCAGTCTCAGGCTGGTGAGTCGGTGGGCGGCGTTGGAGCGAGGGCTCGAAACCCCTCACGCCCCTCCCAGTGTGGTTTGCTGTGGTTTTGATCTTGAACAGCTTTTGGTTCTCTGTGTGTGCGAGTTTGAAGCTTTTTTTCCCCTCCATGTGGCAAATGATGAAATATATCTGCTGCTCCCAGATATGAGGATTTGCTGCTTTTCTCTGTTTTAGTTTCTTTGAAAGACCTCTGAAGACATCGCCTCGGTCTTTCAGAACTTGTGATTAACTGAAGAAATAATGGACATTTTAATTGTTTAATTGATAACAAAACTAATCATTAGTGGCCGTCTTAGTGGACAGGGACTGCTGGGGCTCAAAAGGTTGAGAGGATAAAAAAAAACAGAGAGAAGACATGCAAATATAGATTTTTAAGTGTAATGAAAGACAACCACGACGAATATCAGAAATAAGACGCAGGATAAAACTTGACCTGGACTGTTTCCACTAAACACACCACTTGAAAAGTTCCCTTGATCACATGGAGACAAGTAAAACACTGCAACATGTGGCCAATCCTTCTCTTATTTTAGGCAGTCTTGCACACACATCAAACAGGAGGCTGCGGTTATATTTGATGAGATACTGCAGCCTGTAATCACTCATATTTCTCTCCCGGCACACACGACTCATTTCTGCAGTGAAAAAGACGGCGTAGGTTTTTATTAGGCGGAGGAGAGCGGGTTGTTTGTTTGCCAGGCTCCTCTCTGTTTATCCTGCTCAGGTGATGGATGGGAAGTGTGAGAGATGAACGTGAGGCAAACAACCACTTCTATAAATGTGGTTCTTTTCAGTATGTTACAGTTCAGGTAAGTATGATAATTAATGAGTGTTTTGGTGCTTGCCTCTGTACTCCTCTTTGCTACTTGTAAGTAGTAGATTTTATAAGTCTTCCTTGCAGCTGCTGTTTAATGTCTGTGAAAGTGCTGTCAGCACATTCTCCAAACACCAGTGCTTCACTGTCAGAGTCCGCATGGTACTCTGGTGTACTGTAAACAGATTAGACCACAGTGGAGATACTTCGCTCACAGGCCTCCATCTTAAACCCACATCACAGTGCTGGTGCATAAAGTAAAAGTCTGGTGTTATTTTTACGTCTTTGTTCCAAATGTGTTGGTTCGTCTCTCAATACTTCCTGACTTCCTGTCGGTGGCTCTCTGCTCTAATCTCATTGGTTCCTACAGGAAAAAAACCTAATGATTCTTATTTTAAACACTATTATAAAGACATACCTATGAATATTATGTTTCCTTTCTGACAGTAGATCCTCCCAAATGTTACACACTGGACCTTTAACAATCAAACATAGTGAAATAATGCATTTGTTGGGGACTATTTTCAGCGGCGGATTAATCCACATTTGGTGCTCTAGTGAGTATTTGGAGCAGCAGGATGTAGTGTATGTGGGATTGGCTCAAAGTGAACTACAGTGAATCTTTGGACAACACGTTTTAATACACACACACATTATTTGTTAGTAGATACTTTCAGTCTTGGTTTTGGTTTGTGTGATTGGTTGAATATGGAAAACTCAGTATATCAACAGACGTATCCATAAGGTCAAAGCTTTAGATTGAATTTCTATTGAAGAAAATAAAAATGCAACAGAAGCTACTCAAATGCTGTAAATCTCACTTTACATTTTAGGATTTTAAACATATTAACAGATTAATTTAACTTCTTGTCACGCGTGTGCGTGTTGACGTACATGGTAGAAAGGCTGCATCCAAGGTAATTTTTCCTTTTCCACAATGAAAGATTTAGAAAAAAACGATATATTCTCTCACTTATTTTCAGCCTATTCAGTAATATATCTACGTAAATGTTGTTTAAAAAACATTCCCATCTCAGGTCTTCTTCGTGACAGCTGATGAATGGTGCTACATACAAGTTACAACCATCTTAAAACTTGTTTAATCGGTCGTTGAGAACTTAGAAAGTCAACACTAACAGTTCCCGGGCCATCAGCAGGTCCAGGAACTAAAACCTGGAATACCTGTAGTTGAAATGGTTGTCGGGATCTTTAAAGTTCGTGGAGAAGTTGCCGCAGTGAAGACTGGTCTTTGGAAGGATTTGTAAGGTTGTATTCACTGATGATAAATAATTCATTCGTGTGTGTGTGTTTTAGGAAGCGGCTCGGTGCGGAGTCTACATACGGGGGTCGGAGAGTTGCTCGGAAACACGCGGTTCTGGCACGGAAAAGACTACTGCAACTTTGTACACAAGGACTGGATTCAACTGGACAAACCATTCGACGGTGAGCACGCCGTCAAGCTACGCCAACGGGGGAACAACTTATTCCCTCTCTGTCTCAAATTCCTGCTTCTGCTGTGTTGTTTGTTTTAGATTTCATAGACAGGCACACAACTCCCAGAATGCCTTGGCACGACATCGCCTCAGTGGTTCATGGGAAAGCGGCTCGAGATGTGGCGAGACACTTCATCCAGCGGTGGAACTTCACCAAGGTCAGAGGTCACGCTGCTGTTGTTCTAGTATACAGAGTGAGGGATTAACACGGTGCCAAGAGCATCTGTTGAAGAGTCACTGAGCACGATCAAACCGTTCTGGCCCCCCCTCTCGAGAGAGTGCCTAAAACTTCCCAGTGCACCCAGTCCCACGAGCTAATAGCAGCTACATTTCGCAGAAGTTACTTTACTGTCCATCAGGAAACTCCGTAAATCACAGATAGTGGAGGCAGAGCAGCTGCAGGGCATCAGAGGAAAAATCTGAAAACATTTTCTCCATAAAAGATGATCAGCGACATAGTTGGGGTAGAAAAAGAAACTAAAAAGAACATTTATCTCTTCCCTCAAATAACCGTCTACTAGATTTATGGAAGAAACAAGTGAAGATATAATCTGTATATCTGTGGAGCAGCTGTGTCTTTATTTTCAGACCTCTCATTACAAATCACAATCTGGAAAAACGTGAATCTCGCTGTGTATCACTTCAACCGATGAGGCTGAGATCTGTCCACGTTGCTGCAGGAGTGCTCGCTGTGTTAATCTGTTTCACTCTTTTTTTTCTCTGTTTGTCTGTCAGCTTATGAAGCCAAAGTACCGTTCTCCGGCGTACCCGTGTCTGCTGCCCAAGTCTCACACCACCGCTGGAGAGCAGCGATACCAAGTCCCCAACTGCATCCCCGCCAAAGTGCAGGTTGGTACTGTATGAGTGTAACGTGCCAGTCTCCACTTCACTTCCATAAACACTTCAGTCGACGCCACGACTGAAACTTCTCTGATTTTTGTTTATTTAATTTTCCAGGTTTCTTTTAGACATCACTTACAGCTCCACAGTCTGACTGTGTGAAGTTGGTTTTAGTAATGCATTGTGTTCACACTGGTTGGATGAGAAAGATGTCAGTATACAGTATAAATATACAAACACAAGTACTTGCTCTAGATAGGGCTGCTCAACTCTTATTGGAGCACAGAGCAACAAAAAGGGGGCGGGTCTTAGGAAAAGGGGTCCCAAACTCTGACCCACGTCCGTCTCTTCTCAGATCCTTCGCTCAGCCTCTGACTGGTCCGCTGGCATCAAATACCACGAGGAGTCCATCCACAACGCCTACGTCCACGTCATCGAGAACAGCCAACACTTCATCTACATAGAGGTACTCGTTTGTGTGCCGTACGTCATCACTGCAGGTCAACTCATGCTTTTATACGAGGTCCCACAGTTTCACCGCTCTTCCAAACCAGTGCGTAAGGTTTGTTAAGCTGCTAAGTAACCATAGCAACAAGATGGACTGTGAAAGTAACCGTAACCATGGATTAACAGTCCCAACGAATATTATTCCAACTCTGCTTGGGTGTTTAAAGTGTCTCCACCCTTTTCTAATGCTGCATCAAGTAGCTTTTCTCAGTGGGAATCTTTCCCAGTAAAATACTCAACTGGTGGGTAGTTCAGGGAGACTGGGAGTCTGCGGTTTCCTAGTATGTATGCAAAGCTGGGGCCAGTTCTGCCAGTTTAGAAAACGTATAACCATAGCAGCCATTGTGGTGACAGACGAGTGTCTGCTGGCGTTAATCGTAAACACACGCTAACCCATTCAGATATATTGTTGTTATTTTGTCGTGTTGAGTGTTTACATACATGCACCACATAAACTGATGTAAAACATTGAACACACACAGTTTCTGTACAGAATGAGATATAATGTGTTGATTAGAGGGTTTTAGAGGTGTTGTCTGGTGAGTTTTGTTAGCTTTGAACTGGAGGTGAAGTAATGTTCTTATTTTTAGGGTATTTTCTCTTGTTCCAGGTGACACTTTGTATAAACTGTGTTCATTAAAGACGTGTTTGTTTGTTTGTTCAGAATCAGTTCTTCATCAGCTGTGCAGACAACAGACACGTTTTCAACAAGATAGGAGACGCTATTGCCGAGCGCATCATCAGAGCACACAGGTAACACACACACACACACACACACACACACACACACACGCACACACACACACACACACACAAAAACAGTCTATACCAAATTAAATTAACACACACTTTGTAAACTTTAGGCTGCTGCTGTGTATTTACCTTTACCTATAATAATCACACATTGCGCTCAGGCTTATCTTAAAATGAGTTCCCAGAAACACACACACACACACACACACACACACAGCGTATGTTGATGGAACCTGTTGCTGTGTGTACCTTTCAGATGACTAATAGACTGATTTCATATCATAAGTCCTGTTTAACTTGGCCTCTGTGAAGAGTTATTTGAATATTTTCCTATTTAGAGTTCAGTCTCTCTCTCTCTCACTCTCTCTCTCTCTCGCTGGTGTTTTGTTGTCAGGGATATAAGAGCTTATCAGAGGACACACATCCTGTACAAAACACAAGGAAACACATGGACACAAATTGGCAGTCGCACACAAACCTGACCTGATTTCTTCTAGAAGCTTCAGTGTAGAAACAATCGAGGGCGGCTGTCGTAACTGTGTCAGGCGGTCTTGTTTCTCATTGTGTAGCTGGAGGTTGATATCAGTGAAAATGTGTTTGAATGAAAGAAACAGCAGCCGTCACAGTTCAGTGCGGAAGTTTCCGAAGCTGCTTTAGCTGGATGCTAATCTACAAAGCTAATGTTACCTCTTCTAATACTTAAGTGGCGCTTTAACATTTTTTGTATGTTACATATATTGTAAAAATGACACAAATATAAACCAATACGTCTAAATACAACAAACAAACAGCAGTAAAAGCAGATATATGTAAATAAAAAGTGCATCTCAGGGTAAAATGTGGCGCAGAGAAGTTGTTAAACATATGACCAGTTATATGAGGACGCCACAGATTTGGCGTTTTTGAGCTGCTCTCATTGGCTGCTCAGTTTCAACTCGTCCGTAGCAGGAAACAGTGGCAGCTCGCCTGGTTGCACACAATCTCGTACTCCAGATAAACACTAAAATATGTTTTAGGGGAGAAACAGTCAACGCAGTCACAGAATCTGGATCCATGTTTGAGCAGCACTGCCCACATACTGCAGTTCTTTGTGTTCTCTCTCTCTCTCTGTTTATTTGTTTCTTTGAGCCCTTTTAGACCAACATCCCTCCGGAGTTCAGAGAGTTGAAGTTCAGAAGTTCAGTTCCAGTGAATTGCACGGTGCCTTTTCTTGTCTCTCGGGCTGTAAAACTGTTAAACTACACAGTTATTCAGAAGGCTATTATGATTTTATTCTCAGCTTGGAGGAACTGAAGCATCCTCTTCCTAAACTGCCTCATAAAAAAGTCTCAACAGAGGAAGAGTGGAGGCAGGTGTTTCATTCAAATTATATTAAGCCTTTTACACATAATGGCCACTGCAGTGGAAAGCTTTTCTGGTGCATGTTTTGGGGGTTTGATGGTATCAGCCTCCACAGTGAATGCTAGCGCATCGTCCCATACGCTGCCACCCACTGGCCGGCCGTTGTAGGCGCAGCACACAGTTCTTAAAACCAAGATGACCGACAGAAGAGCAGAAACACCGAACAGGAATATGTTGTCCATCATTTTATAGTAAGAGACCCTCGCAGGTTAAAAGAGAAATTGGTTACAACTATAACAGTAAACATTGATTATATGTTGGGAGAAAATTACAATTATTAATCATCTGTCCATTAAATTGGACGTCACGCATCGCTGGCTACAATTCGTACTGTTGTTGTTGTTGTTGTTATTATTATTATTATTATTGAAAATCATCTGCAATAACTTTTTTTAAAGCTTTAAATCAATTGATTTATTATGATGAGTTATTAGAATGTGCAGATTTATTTTAGTGTGTATATACAGTGTGTATATATATAGTTTTGCATTGCACCGAACAATAAAATATGTGAACAAAATAGTTTAACAGTATAGAAAATGTTTATTTGTTTTTAAAATATAGTTGAAATCTCACATGGAAATGTGGAAAAAGGAAAAAGAAATTCAGAAGTTGTTGTTTTTTTATGCCTACAGGGAGAAATCCTAACTGAGGTCATCATAATTCATGCATGAAAGGTTTAGGTCGTATATTTGGGAGGGTTTGATTGACAGCCTATCGCAGTCACTAAAGATGTGTTTGTAAACTGGTTAGTGGGGATTTAGACCACAAACCACAGGAAGGTTCTTGATATGGTTGCAGTTACCCAGCGGTAAAGATGGTGCAGTGCAGTAAACTGTGCTGCTTCTTATTCGTTCTTATAATCTAAGTCGACATCTGAGGCACTGAGGACATTAGATCAATGATGTGTCTCTCTCTCTCTCTCTCTCTCTCTCTCTCTCTATTTTAGGGAGGGTAAAAGGTACAGAGTGTACGTGGTGACGCCTCTGCTGCCAGGCTTCGAAGGAGACATCAACACCGGAGGGGGCAGCGCCATCCAGGCCGTCATGCACTTCAACTACAGGTGTGTGCGTGTGTGTGTGCGTGTGTGTGTGCGTGTGTGTGTGTGTGTGTGTGTGTGTGTGTGTGTGTGTGTGTTACAGATTCAGACACACAAACAGACAGACAGTCAGACAGACAGACAGTCAGACAGACAGAAGGATCGGAATAGATTCCTGTAAAAATGAGAATCTTTGCTCCCTCAGTGGAATGACGACTAGAAATTAGGGGTTAAATCCCGGAAGGAGCCACTGATAAATTACTGCCACGCCTCAACTCTTTAACCACAGAGCTGTAAACCAACATACATCATACGTGTGTGTGTGTGTGTGTGTGTGTCTGTGCATGCCATTCCTTTTGAGGCTGACGTTCATTGTCTAGCCTGCATTCTTGAGTAAACACTCGGCCCACCCCATGCAAACACAGTGACACACAGAGGCTTGTATTGTGAGGAATGTGGATCTGCCGCTCATCCACCTCTGTCCCTCCGTCCCCCTGCAGGACCATGAACAGAGGAGACCACTCCATCATCTCCCAGCTCAGGAAAGAGAGTAAGTCCACGCTGTTGAAGTGTGAGCGTCTGTGGGCGGGACAGAGGAGCTGGTAACACTGGCTGTATGAGCAGCAGTAGCCTGCAGCGACTGCTGGTGGAAGCTCTGGTATTTCCTGACATGTAACAACATATCCGAGTTGACATAGTTGCTTGTACATTAATCAATTATACGTTAAATTCTCCTTTATTTATCTCAACTGATGAGATAACCAGCTCTTTATTTGAGACTCACACTCACCGAAGTATAATTATTATTATTTTAGTTTACAATGATACTTTAATGCTACTACAGCAACATTAAAGAGCAATTTAACAGCAGCTGACCTCCACCGGTTCGCTGCAGTGATGTCACAGTGTACTCCAGGGTGTGTCAGTACACTGTGACATCACTGTTGTCGTGGTTAAACTTCACTGCTTTTCGTGTTGGAGATAAACAAACAAGGTTGTTATAGTTACCTAAAACTAAACTAAACTCAAAAACTTTGTGGGAATTTTTTTACCTGAAATAAAAATAAAAACTAGACTAAAAAAGTAAAACTAACTGAAACAATATTGTGTACTTAAATATCTAAAGTAAAATAAGATACATAATATAATATGCAAATATAGACAGTCAGTTTAGTCAAATTTTTTTGTGAAAATGTGTGTGTTTGTGTTGTAATACCTGTTCTGACAAATACCCCCCATATATTATATTATATTATATTATATCATATTATATTATATTATATTATAATGATAGAAAACTAAAACTAACACTGGATCTAAACTAAATCTTAACATTTTTAAACAATAAAAACTAAACTGGAACAACCAAACTCGTTCTGGAAACTTAACAAAAATGTTAAACTAGATTAAAACTAATGAAAAATATAAACTCTGGTGTTAAGTTACTTTTTAAAGGACCAGTGTGCAGGATTTAGTGGCACTGTAGCAGTGAATTTGCAGATTGACAAAAATACAACTGCTTAGTGAGGGACTCACTCGAGAGTATTTGTGCTCAGTAAAGTCACCCTGCTGCATAAATAAAGGCTCCATATGAACAGCTGGAGGGCCGTCATACACCACATGTGTAACCTGTAATATGGGAATCATTTAACGAAACATTTCATTTAAAGCTCAGCCAACCAAAACCACACAGAAACTGCACATCTGCATTCTGGTTTCATGTATTTTTAGATAAGTCATGCCTTTAATCACACGGCTGGTTTTTCATGTTTTACTCCATTAATGTCAAATCAGACAAGACATTAAACACCCTCTTAAGAGCGACTCCTACTGGTTGTTTCTTGTTCCCAGTGGGAGAACACTGGATGAACTACATCTCCATCGCCGGTTTGAGGACTCACGCTGAGCTGGAGGGGAAGCTGGTCACCGAGCTCATCTACGTCCACAGCAAGATGCTCATCGCTGACGACAACACCGTCATAATCGGTAACCGTGCTTTTTCTTGTGGCCACTTCACTGACTCCCGGGCATGTTAGACACTTTCTTCATAGCAGACGTTGACGCAGCAGCTTGAATTTCTCAATTACAAGATTAAAAGATGACAGATGTAATGAAATATTCCCCTGACACTACACTGAACATGTATAATAGAGGAGAAAGAAACAGGAGCTGCAGAGAGAGACGAGGACGTCCTTTATATTAGAATTTGCATAGAGTATGTTTTATTAGGACAGTGAGCTTCTGTAGATAAAGATGTAAAATGGTTTTCTCTGCTGGTTAAGTGTTTAAATATCTGATAATTATAGTGTTTTTATACTTTTGCTGAACATTTTAAAGGTTCTATTGGTTGGTGAACTGAACGGAGGCTCCGGATAAAGCAGCTTTTTAACCTTTAATCACAAGATCATGCGAGTACTGGCAGCTACGAGAAGACACAAGTAAACAAAAGTGGCCTCTGTCTTAGAGGTTAGCGTAGATGCTGCTAACATAAATTATATCAACTGGAGAGTATTCCTTCATTGAGAGAAGAGCAAAGAACGACACTGAAGGCTTTTTCTCGATGGAAAATGTCTTTTGGTTTCCAACAACTGGTCCAGTGAACAAAAAACAAAAACAAAAAACAAAATCAAACTGGCTGCTCATCTCATTGGAGGGACACTTCTTTCATTCAGAGTTTTAATATTTAACCTCTTTAAATGTTTGCACAGTGTGTTTTACATACGTCTCTATGTGTATTATTAAAGAGAAGCAGTATTTAGAAGTCCTAATTTCCCAGATCCTCCTCCCCAAATGTGTGTGTCTAGTCTTTTGAGGAGGATGAACATGCGGTTGGAAATCAGGTGCTGCGGCGCCATCTGCTGGTGGACTCTGGTGCTCTAACTTGTTCCTTCGTGTCGCTGCAGGTTCTGCCAACATCAACGACAGGAGCATGCTGGGAAAGAGGGACAGCGAGGTGGCGGTGATCGTGGAGGACTCAGAGATGGTGGCGGCGGTGATGGACGGGCAGCCGTACCAAGCTGGAAAATACGCCCTGCAGCTCCGCCTCGAGTGCTTCAAGTACTGAAACCTCCTGTTTTATAGTTTTATCCAGTGCATCTATGTACAGGCTTGATTTGTGTGAATTATCTTTACAGTATTGATTTATTTATTCATGTATTTGCAGGCTAAACGTCTTCTCTCTTGTGCCTGTTGAGAATGTTTAAATTTCATCATTATGTTGGCTTCTCGTTGCCAAATACCTCAGCTCGCCGTTTCCTGCAGTGCTGAGCGTTTCCCTTTTTTCTGGTGCCTCGTAGTGTTCCTTCACGTCCCGCCTCCCACTCTCTGTTTTGTCTCTCAGGACCATTTTGGGCGCTCACACAGATCTCTCCATCGACGTGTCGGATCCCATCAGCGACCAGTTCTACAAGGAGGTCTGGATGGCCACCTGCGCTCGCAACGCCACCATTTACCAGAAGGTGCAAACTCAGGATTATTCCACTTCTGTTGCCATTAGCTCTGTCACTATGAAAATAAATATATCATTTAGTTCTTTAACTATTAAATTATGAAATATCAGCAGTGTTTAAAATGATGCAAATTATGTTGACGTTTGCAACCGATGCAGAAGCAGGTAAGTTCGCTAAAATGAACTTTAAAACTATTATCAATATAAATCAACTGTCTATTCATTGTTTAAGTAGTTTATAAAGCAAAAAAGCCACACATTCAGTGGTCTTTTCTGTTTTATGTGACTGTAAGCTGAATTTCTTTGGGTTTTGGACTATCTGAAGATGTTACTTGGACATGTTTCACCATGTTTTTACATGAACAGCAGAAAACATCCTGGGCAGATGAATCAATAATGTGAATTGTTGACCACAGACCTAAAAATCCATTCAGAAACCCCACTGACTCTGAGACGAGGGAACCGGAGGATCAAACTCATTCTGGGTTTTAGGACTCTTTCCTGCAGCGCTCTCACTCGATACATTGACACATCCATCCCTGGTTCTCTCTCTGACTCGTCCGCCCTCTTTTCCTCAGGTATTCCGCTGTCTGCCGTCCAGCGATGTCCGTAACATCCTGGAGCTCGAGGGCTTCCTGGCCAAGCAGGGCCTGGACAAAGAGGACCCGGCCCGGGCTCACGAGGAGCTGAAGAAGATCCGTGGCTTCCTGGTTCAGTTTCCTCTCCAGTTCCTGTGTGAGCAGAACCTGCTTCCCCCCATCGGCTCCAAGGAGGCCATGGTGCCCATGGAGGTCTGGACCTGAGGAGGTGGGACTCACCTGTGCATTCAAGCGTTTTACCCACTGCATATGGACGACTTACAGGTCCATTAAACCCACTCTGACGCCATTTTGGAGCAAAACAGCTGCGCATCCTTTTTAAAATCACAGCTTGACAAAAAAATCTGCTGCTGTTGTTTTTATTTACTCCCTTAAGTCAAAAAGCAGCAGTATCTGACAACATCTGACTTGTGCCTTGTAGTCACATGTTAGCATGAAGGTTAGTGTCTTTTTTGCCCTGAATAGAGCCTTCCAGGCAATTTGATTTTGGCCAAAAAAAGCAGAATAATAATTATAACTCGGGTGTTTGTGCACTAAAACCTTGATTTTGATGCAGTCTGTCTGTTCTCAAACAAACATTATGATCTGAACTAAAAAAGAACAGATACTTTGAGAGTTTAAAAGAAAGTTTGAAAGGCAGGAGAGATAAAAGCCTGTATTTGTACATGTGGTTATAATATGCAAATGTATGACCTACTTAGAGCCTTACTTATATTTCTGTTATAATGGATGGGAACCGCTGAAGCACTGGTCTGAACACAGCAAAACAAATACGAGCAGTAACAAGATCAGACAGACTGTAAACAAACCACCCGGTTAGTCAGATGTATTTGGAGGAGAAACTGAGGTGAAACATCCATCACAGACTATTGTGGTTCAACTGTACTCACTGTAGTTGTGCAGTGAGGGGGTATTCCTGACATTTCAGTCTATTTGACCTCCAAAAAAGTGCTTTAAATAATGTACTTACCAACCTATGTGATCGTCCTGTCTGACTTCTTTTTAAAAATGTGGCCACGTACCAAGATTTTAGCCCAGTGTGAGCAATAGCTAATAACCTAAGTTGTAAAAAAACATAGTTTTCCTTTACAATAATGCCTTTAAGATTGAACCCAGAACTTAAAATGCTCACGTTATTTAGGATAAGTAACTAGGGCTGAACAGGAGTAAGTTTACTGTATTTACTACCTGAATCTGCAGCACTAGCAACCAAAATGAAACCCAAAATGGTGTCAGCTGTGGTTGTGAGACAGCCTGTGTACCAGCGGTGCCACTGAATGCGCATGAGTACGATTACAACTGCTTCTTATACAAACAACACACGCAGACACAGAGACAAACACCTTGACTCTAAGAACTGATACGTACACGCAGAACATTGTTGTTTTAAACAGATGCAACACGCAAACGCTCACAGACAAACAAACATGGAGGGAGGCAACCTGGGCCTCATGTTTACAAGAAGAAGATGAAGAATGGAAGTGACCAGAGGCCTGACACACCTCGCCCTGCTCCCTCACCTCCAAACTCTATAATCTCTCTCTTTTTAAAACGGCTTGCTCCTTCACTCTCTAACAACACTATGCAACGTCCAAGGGCCGGCAAACGCTGCTCTGACTCTTCTGTGTTGAGAAGGGACGACTTGAAAAGACACTAAAAAGACTCTTTAATGAAGACGGCGGTGCAGTGAAGGGGATGAAGAGCCGGGTCGGAGCTGTCAGACGTCTACAGCCATTTTATAAAACGTGTGTGTCTCATATCTCTGAACTTAATATTTATGTCAAAACAGGAAATCACAAGTGCCAAAGAGTGTAGCCTGATGTTGATGCAGTACATACATTCATTTACATTCCTCATACTGTGGATTCTACATCAAGCCTTAAGTGACCTGGTCTTTGTCGTTCCTTTGGTAGCGCTTTAGAATAACTTCCTGGACGTTTTCTGGAAAGAAGTTGGGGATAATTACAGCGTAGGTAAAAAAAAATAAATGTACATTTTCACATTTAAAAGGATTTATTCTTTCCAAGAAGCTGCTAGGGAGCAATGAAGCGCTATTGTTCTTTTTTTTTAACTACATCAAACCCATAGATTCACGCATGATGAGTTTATTCTAATGCTGCGTTTCATTCAGTGTCAGATGAACTCTGAAGCAACAGCCAACTTTACACAAACAGGCAATGGTGGTGTGTTCGGTAAAGTTTAAGGAACTGAAGGTGCAACTTTTATTTCACCTTTGGCTCCCGGATGTTTCTGTACTTTTAAAGCTCCATTAACTGATGTTTTTTGGACCAATTGAGGGCAGCGGAAATAACTGAAAACACAATCTTGACAGCCTCGGGGCTAAATTTGGATTTATATATGATCATTTCTGACATAAAAGTCACATGAATTCTGAAAGGACTGTTCACACTGAGGTCACTTTGCAAAACCTTGTATAAAAGTGGTTGTGTTTTTGTTGTGGGGAGCTAGTTAGCAAACACTTGCTTATTTACAAATCCAATAGATACGGATCAATATTAGCATTCATTTTAAAGTCCTGTCTCAACCGGATGAGTATAAGTCAGATATTCACTGTCTTATCTTGGTCATATCTGTCTGTTTAGCTGCTAAATGCTCCACTATGATCACCAGCTAGTGTCTCACTGTGCAGTTTGCTGCTGAGCAGGTAATGTAAAGTGATGAGACTGAACCAAAACAGTAAATTATGCCGTAAAACCAACACTAGAAGCTACAGAACTCCAAATGTGTAAGTGAGCAACCCTTTGCTTTTCATGTTCTCATACACTTAAAAGATGAAAATATGTTCATTTCTGCTGCCATCAAGTGGTCAAAAGATTTAAGATACTGGTCAGTGCAGCTTCAAGGTTTAGTAATAAAGATCATATTCAAGTTAAACAAGTATTTAAAACTTTAGAAACTCTGATTCTGTATTTTGGAAACCTTGTGGTTCTTGAAATTCACGCCCATGGATTTCAGATATTTCTGCAACGCAGTATCAATATTCCTCAGTGTCTTCCTTGTTGGTCTGTAAGTGATCTGCATGATGCTGTTTTGTGCTATAAAAAAAAAAAAACGAGACGAAACTGTTTAGCTGACAGCATGACAGCAGCTCGTTGCCATTAAACATTACAGATAAAAGCATGAACTCTATAAGCTGAATGGTTGCCTTTAAAGCCATGGACATTATCGATGCTAAACAGTGTGCCTGTCTACAAGCCGTGTGTCTGCTAGGCACACCTGAAACTTCTCTACTGTTGTTATTTATGGAAAGTGGGACCGTAAATGTGCTCTTCTTTTTAATCTTCCTCTCTACCTCCCTGTGTTTCTACCTCTGCTCCAGTGCATGTTTTTAATCTTTTGTGATGAATTCATATTTTTATTGCAGCTGTACCCCTTAAATTTAGCAAACTAAAGTCAAATTCACTGTTCTGTGCAATACCAGCCTGTTTTTATGACTAAAATAGAAACTGTAAAGACAACAAAACACTGAATTCTCCCTACAGATATAGGACAAGTTCGTCAGCAAAGAAATACATTTGGATGGAAATGTTTTTAAAATATTGTCTTTGCATTGATTTAAACCAAAAAAGTGGCTATATTTATGATTTTAAATGGTTTTGTAGTTATTGTTTCTTGTGGGAACACTAGAAGCGTGGCTTCACATGATTTCATTTCAGGTGTAAATGGAGCTTGAAACCTTCAATGGTTGTCTCAGTTTCCTCAAAGCTGGTGTGCAGAGGTTAGGAAACACTGACCTGTCTTTTTCTCTGTCTGGCTTTAATCACTGTGTCTCTATGGAAATGCACTATTTGCACAGACTGTTGTTTTCTTGTGGCGACCCCTTAAGTGATCTGCAGTACCACGTCATGTGTCGCTTTTGGTGAAATGATGGAATAAATAAATTATGTATTAATAAGACATTAAAAGGGATCCTGTCTTCACGAGGCTTTGTGACTTTACCTTCAGTTTCTCACTCAATATGTGTCATTCATGCTCATATTCATACTCCATGTCATGAGAAACACTGTTAATCGGGACATTAGCTGCACTGCAGGAACAGCCCTTGTAAAAAACAAAACAAATATTCTTTAATATAATCAGATTTTCTTGTCTAAAAAAGATCTGCCAATAGGGTGAGACAATTTTGCTTGGATAGAATTCTTAAAACTAGCATACAAATCTAGTTACTGAAAGATTGTAATGGGCCTTAAAACTAGAAGAAAATGCCACAAATAAAAGCAAATTGTGCTTATTACAAACAATAAACATTCCGTTGTTTAAGATAGCTTATTAAATAAGTATTTTGGTCACTTTATTGAACTGAATTTAGACATTTGTACCTTTTTAATCTATGATAACAAACAGCTGCTTCATTTCAAACAGTGGGACACGACAACTTTCTCTTAAACTGAGAAGTTGTGCGAGTGGTCTCACTCTTAAAATAAGGACAATAATATTGTTCCTCTACTGGGATATTAAACCATTGTTACTGGTTAAATCAAGCTCAATATTAGCTGTAATATCTTTGTAAGATAAAGTCAGATTTTTTAAACCAGATTACTTTCCTAATGCAAAACATGCTTGACAAGATTATTTTTCTTTTTAGACTTAAACAAATAAGACTAATTTCCCAGAATAAAGGCGGTTGATGTCAGTATATGAGTTATATCAGTGGTGGTAGGAATTAAATGGTCCACAACACAACTTCAGGCTCTTTGCAGTATTTTTAGACTAAGTATTTTTAAATGTGACTTAAATTATTCAGTATTTCACCACCATTATGCAGAGGGCTTTGCAACAGTGTTTAGACCTTCATGTTGGAAAATAAAATGCCTCAAAGGAAGTTTCTGGGAATAAATATGATCTGGTATTCACTATAGATAAATCAGAGACAATGTTCTGAGACAACAGTGTTTTTTCTACAAATAAAAGTATAATTTCCACATTAAAATCCTCCAAACATGGGTGTATATGGGTATTTATTAGTGTTATTGACTGAGAATTTACCTGGAAAGAGAGCACATAAATCATTGATTAATGATTGGCAGAAATAGAATAACTCATAAATTAAAAGTGGGACCTTGCAAGTTAAGATTATAAAATCTACTGACTTGATATTCTGTCTCATTTCTTTAACTTAATTTATCACAATCTTTACTTAGTTTCTTACAATTTTTAAACCATTAACATTACATTTTGACCTATTATTACAATCCAGGTCTAAATTTGGACATTTTAGTGCAAAATGTTTGAATCCACTTCTTCTCCCTCGTTGAAAATGAAGGAATATGTCCAATAACTCAAACCTGTGTGAGCTGGATAGTACTGTGGGAAAGTTGAAATGAAATAAACTTTTATTTGTTCGGTATCTTTTTATGCAAACCCCCTCAGATCCAGAATTTCCATAATAATCTTCCTCTCTTGTCTCTGTCAGTCTCTGCTCAGGATTCATCACTGAAATAACAAACTGATGAGAATAAGAGCAGATTTGTCCTCAGAAAACCTCCCCTGTCCAATCCCTCCATCCTGCACTTCTCATCCGTGCACTAGATGGCGCCACAATATATTGATTGTTCTTCAAACAGTTTGCCTCCAGAGATTTGTTTTTACATTTACAGCAGCCATATGAATTAATACCTAAAAATCTGTGCATCATTTGGGAAAAACATGAATAAAATCATCCTGTAGAGCCAACATACACAAAACATCTTCATCATTCTGAAACCAGGGTTACTCATTTTCACTCTTGCTACCTAAAAAGAGGCGAAAATTTGTCAATAATGTTATTATTTATATATATAACATAGGATATAGGGTAGGAATTTGATGTTAACAGCATCACTGATCTTAAAACCTATTTTTGTTAAATGTTGCTGGAGTTTGGACATCAGTTCATATCAGGTTATCCAATATGTTTCAGTGATTAATGCAGAATAAATGCTATAATAAAATACAGTTTAACCAGCAGAGTGATTGCTAAGACTGTGAACAAGCAGCAGAGAGTAAGAGAGAAGAAGTTAAAGAATATAACATTCTCTAATAAGTTATGCTATTTATTAAATAAAGCAGCCTTCTGAGTGCCTTTGCAGAGTTATTTCAGTGCAAAATATCACAATATTTCAGTTTAAAGACTTAATATCGGCTGCTATATCTGTAATCTATGGAAGCCCATTTCTGCCAATGTGACGGAAAGTTTCTGATTATTTGAGATACAATATATATGATCTAAAATCTGTAGAGGCCCATATCAGTAGGACTAGCAGTGTAACTAATTACTAATAAATCTTCAATAATAATATTGCAGTAATGTTGTCACCCAGGACTAATTTTAAATCAAACAATCCAATCACATCCTTGGATTGATTTTTGTAACGTTCAGCAGCTGGAAATATTCACATTACTTTGATTTAAACAAACAAAACTGGATTTTAATCAGGACACAATTACCAGTTTTATGGGGAGTAACAGAAAAGTAATATAACTAGTAGTGTAACTAATTACTGTTGGCAATAAAGTAATAATATCACATTGGAAAAGAACAAGTTAGGAGTAATAAATTACATTTTTTGAGTAATTACACCTTTGGGATGAGCTGGAGCGCCGATTGTGAGCCAGACCTGATCCCCAGTCATCAACACTGGACCTCAGTGATGCTCTGCAGCCAACATCTGGTGGAAAGACCGAAACCAGAACAAATAATGAACATAGAATCACACATTTAAACAACATGTAGGTGACATAAATGTTTCCGTTATGATTTTCTTCTTTCGATTCAATGAATGAATCCCAATAACACACAAGATCTAATGTGGCTCACAGTCTAATGTGATCCCTTACAACATTACAGTGTTCAGTTTCTGAGGATTTCAGAACCATTTTCAGTCCGGAGAAGCGGTTTTGTGTGTGGGTGTGTGTGGGAAACACCTGCTTCGGCATTACATAACTGGCTGAGGTGTGTCCTGAGAACTTACCTGGAGGGACAATATATTAATTAAAGTTAAAAATGTGACCTTTCAAGTTAAGACTGTAAAATACAGACTCAATATTCTGACTAATTTTACTTAATTTATCACAATGTTGACTCATGAACTCATAATTTTGATTTATTATGAGTATTTCTGTTTCTTTATGATGCCTTTTTGTGTTTATTTTTCCTTCCATACATAATAAACACTTTAAAACAAGACACAGGGAGATGATTTAAACCCTCTAAAGTGTCCTGATTATCTTCATATACCAGGTATTTACAATCTCGGCTCCTCTTATCTTTGGTCCCAACTAACTAAAAGCAGACTTAATTCTAAGAAAACAGATTATGGGTGTGTCCTGCAGGTGAGTCAAAAGCTGTTGGTAGACATGTGAATCACCAGAGTGCGTTCAGTGTGTCCCTGCACGCTCTGAAACACAGACATACAAGACTGATTGAGTGAGAAAGACTTCCTGACAAACAGTGTAAAGGAGTTATTTCCAGGGTGCAGGGGGGAGTTTCTGCACACAGGTTGAAACAGTTCCTAAAAAAGGTTCCTGGAAAGGTTCTGTGGTCCAAAAGCGCCTGAAGTGGCAGCTGTGAACCTGTTAGGGGGTAAATTAATCCAGATTGTTTTATAATTAATTAAATATCTCCAGAAATTAAAATAACAATAGTATCATCTGTTATTTCCGTGTGTTCTTTAATGTTATCGTCCAATATTTGACATTTTTAACAAGAAATAACACTAAAAATAAAAACATCAGCGACAGAGGAAGATATTATTGTGCAGCAGATGGAATATTTTTTCATCCACATGGTTAAAAGAGTCTTTGGGGATTCTGGAAATACCTTTATTTTATTTTTCCTCTGCATGATATTTTATATTTATAAGGAAACAGTGGATGCTTCTCTCT